AAAATCGTATGTTTAAATTCGATGGAGGAATTTTGGCCGTCAGATATCTTGTACGGTAAGAAAAGAGCAATCGAGGAGCGGATCATAGTTCGAGAGATCAACGAACCACTCTTTGACGGCAAGAGACACGCAGCCACCATTAGCCAGAGTGTGTGGCATTTAGTAGTTGCTCTGTGCCGAAGGAGAAATGGGACAAATCGTTTTCAGCGTAGCCAGAATATTTAAAGTGTCCGGGGGTAGGTTTTTTGAGTATAAAGGTGTCTTTCGCAAGGTGTATCGGTTCGGTCTCTTATGTTTTTTGTGTGTGGCATTTAGTAGTTGCTCTGTGTCAAAGGAGAAATGGGACAAATCGTTTTCAACGTAGCCAGAATATTTAAAATGGTCGGGACGTAAGTTTTTTTTTAATATAAGGGTGTCTTCCGCAGGGTGTATCGGTTCGGTCTCTTATGTTTTTTGTGTGTGGCATTTAGTAGTTGCTCTGTGCCGAAGGAGAAATGGGACAAATCGTTTCCAGCGTAGCCAGAATATTTAAAGTGGTCGGTGGATAGGTCTTTTGAGTATAAGGGTGTCTTCCGCAGGGTGTATCGGTTCGGTCACTTATGTATTTCGTATTCATCACTCAGAAATGTTTCTGTGCCAAAGGAGAAATGGGACAAATCATTTTTAAAAAATCCAGGAACGTTCCAAACTTCAATCGCTCCAGGAACGTTCCAAACTTCAACTAGCTCCCAGATTCAACATCACAGACACTGAAAACTCCTTACCAAACCATTTCAAAACCGAATCAATATTTAAAAACATGATTACGTTAAATTATGTAGACTTTTCTCCAATTTTCAGGCTTTCAGCCGCCATATTGGATCAACCATCTTAGATTTCAAAACGGAGCACATGACTTTCGAAAGTACTAGTAAAGACTAATTTTTTGAACTATCGAACGTCTTTGTAGGTTGCTTCAAATTTTGGGCAGACAAATGATCCGGTTGACGTGAAACGTCCCATATATATATATATACATATATTAAATATACATATATAATATATAGATATATTTTGTGTACCTATATATGTATAATTAACTGAAGGACAATGAGATATTTTTTCAAGTACAGATACATTTATCGTTTGTTTAAATTTTTTAACCAGTCCAAGACTAATAAATTGAAATACAAACTTGTTAAATAAATTCAAATAAATACTCTAGTTACCGTTGAAAAAGGCGGAATAGGATTTGTTACGACTTGAAATACGAGCGAATCTACCGCTTATTTAACATTAGTTTTCCAACTTTACAAATGTATTGTCAAAATTAACGACCGCGATCGCTGTAGTCGCGCTTGAAACGTCATAACGTTGCGTGGTCGTTCCGCGGGCGTTTTAGCGCGCTTTTCGTAATTTCTTCGGGGGAATCAACCATCAACATCACCGAGATGGCTACGGAGAATGTTTTACGTTGTACGACCCTATTAAGGACACGGTGGTGGAAATAAGCCTGTCGATGGAAGATGCAATTCGTGCTGAAAAAGGTCGGTGATATTATATTTTTTGCATATCGTAAAATTAAGTATTTTTTTCTCAAAAGCAACATCTAATCTTAACAGCGCGTGAGCACCCTGAGCGGAATGATTGACTTATTATTTTAAGACAATGTTTTATGCTTTAAATCTTAATTTTTATTAACGCACAATACTGTGGTGCTATTCCGAACGCAGCCTTAGTTAATTAAAATCTATAGTTTACGTTGTGACTGGAACAACGATTAAGATGATAAAAACTTATATTTTAGCCACTTACTACTTGGGCTGTAATTACAGTCGCCACTGTATTTTCAGGCTCAAATACAGAAACCTGAGTCGAAAGCGTTGCCTCGTCTTCCTCTCAGCTTAATGGTTGCCGTCTTTTACGTCGCGGACGTGTTCAAGGCCGTTGGCCACGTCCTGGTTGCGCGGATCGTAATTCACGGATAATGGAACAGGATTTTTACTGGGGTCGCCAATAATGACTCGTTGTTTATTATAAACAAATAACAATTTAATATTTCACGTTTTACAGTTTCTCAGGTCTCGCGGTCTCGTTTACTTGCGCTATCACCGGCAACGAGTTGTCTCGAACATGAGTACCGTCTATCAAGAGCTAATTACGACGTAATGTCGTCTCGCGTACGTAGGTTGTGCTCGTACTTGTCGTATACGGCTACGGGATAAGTGCACCGGTATCGAATTATTGCTGCGCAACGCGTATCGTGTTGACGCTTCGAAAGTTCACAGCGGACTGTCCGGGAGAAACGGGTAGAGTTCCCCCACTTGGATGTTAGCGCAGGCGTAAAGCCTCTCGTTTCGGCGCGAACGGACTCTATCTCGCGCGCCGACCCCTCTCATCCAATTGTATCGCTGGTTGACGAGCGACACGATCTCTTTCTAAACAGCGCATCGTCTCCCGCACGCTGAGCCGTTCTCATTGGCTCAGCTCTGGTAGAACAGAGAAAACTGCAATATGATTGGACGGCGGACAAGGGTTCTCGCTTCGGACTCGGCGATGCGGCAACCAATGCCAGCCGTCGCAATTTGCACAAAGTGCAAGTTCGCGACGAATCACTCGGAACGTTTCCGAGTGACCGAATATGGTCATTGTGACGTTCCCCGATATTACAGGTAAGTATTTCATTCACTGGAATCAAGTCGATTAATTTCCCTTTTCTTTTCAAGTACCCACGTTTTGTAGGATCGTCTTGCCCAATCAATTGACGTGATTGACTCACCGGTAATTACAACGTCGGCGAGTATCCGGTAATACAGAGTAAATAAAAATATGGTTAAACGTAATTATCTCGACAGGGAAACATAAAATAATAATTATACAATGCAAATTCGCGCGTTTCGACACGATCTCGCTTCGTTGAGCTACGCTCGCTTCCTATTGGTCGGTTCGTCGCGATTATCTTAAAAAGTTGCGCCTCGCGCTCTCATTGGCTAAAGGCCTCGCAAAATCATAAAGTATTTTGAAAACATGCAAAATTACATCAAAATGCCAGGAATCGTTTCTATTGGCCATCGCTGTGTCGAAAATGTGTGATACAAATAAATCTATCGAAACTAACGTTAATCTTATAGCGTTTTCGATTGGGAAAAAGTTAGTGCGCACCAGTGCGCACTCAGTTCACATGAACACTGGACAAGTTCTATGGGTTGCACTGAATAGTGCAGGTGAAAAAGAACACGCCGAAATTTTCAGTGCCACTTGAGTTGACTAGATCGCGGAAAGAACGAAAAAGTAACCTCGGCATCTCGTGTTCAGTTAAGTAATGATTTTTACTATATGTAATTAAATAATATAAAAGATGATCAAGAATATCACGTATTTATCAATAATTATACACATTTACATGCAATAAATTATTACATGCAATGGCACAAATAAAAAAATTTTAATTTACCTAACCTTGGAACCGGGTGATAAATCATCCGTTCCAGCGTCGAGTTCTGCTTGTTCCGCAGGCGACACCCGAGACCCAATGAGCGACCAGAGGGCAGAGGTGCCGAGAACGGGCATGACGGAGCCGACGACAGAGGTGGTCAATGAGGAGGAGGCGATCATCCCGGAGGATACCGCGAGGTCGCGCAAATCCTCGAACTAATACCGGAGGGAGTAGCGGAAGCTATAGTCCTTGCAGAGGGAGCCGAACAGCCCGCTGGACCAGGCGAGGTTGACATCGTGGTGGCCAGCCAATCCCCAGCAGCGGAGGAGGTGGTCGAAGCAACGGTTCCGCAGAGCCAATCCCAGTATACGGAATTGTAAGCCCGTGGCTGACGAACTTTTTACTTTCTTTTCTTAATGATATATCAATGTATTTTATTATTTCTTATCTATGTTGTGATTGTAATGTATTTTATTGAAAAATTTTTGTAACGCATGCCAAAGCGAAGCGCGACGCAGCGCGAATCTCCAAGTGAGAACGATTACATTTTATTTTATTTTATTTTTTATTGAATTTAATTGCGACGAGTGCCATTGAGCATATTAGTGTTTTTTGAAAGATTTATTTGATTTATTAGAAGTGTTAGAAATATTGCGCAAATCAGGCGTAAGTAGATTTATGTAAGCGAGCAACACATTAAAAACACGACTAACATTTAACAAGACTGAATTACATTTGAAACACACACATTGACCAATCCCAATCATCCTTAAACGAAAAACCCACAATTAAAGTAAAAGAGTTATCAAAGTCATTGGAGTAGAGAAAAGAGCCAATCAGAGGCCAAGGTTAGAAGCAATGGATTCGGATAAGTTCCGTATCTTAGTTTTGGAATTCATTTTTGTTTTATTTGCAATAGCGATCATATGCATACTGTTACTAGCCTATTTACACCGGGTGAAAGCAGAACCTTATTACTTGACGTAGAACGACCAATCAGAGCCATGCAGTTGAAAGAATACATAGTTGTCACATTAATCATCTTTATTCCCATTATAATATAATTCCCAAACGTACAGACAGTTACACTGATTTTCACACTATACACACTATACATATGGGTGCTTTCCAGCAAGGAACACAGGCGACACTGTGTGACACAGTGTCAGACACAGTGCTTTCCAACAACGACACAGCGAAGCACATCTCGACACAGCATCGGTGTGGAGTTCGAGTGTGTTCTGTAGGCATTGTTGCCAATCTTTAAAAGTGAAAAACTTTTTTCGATCAGGGGGTCGATCATGAATCTTTTTCTCTAGCGAGAATTCGTGAAAATTATATTAGATGTATCGAGTATACATCTAATATAATTTTCACGAATTCACGAGAGGGAAAAAGTATCGTGAGCAACCCCAAATTCTAAATTAATAACTTTTTATACTTTTAATTAATAACTTTTTATATTTTATATAACTTTTTAATAAGTATTTTGTGATAATACATTTTAGACATGTTTCAATGTGAGCATTGCTCTGCAGAAATAACTCTTGACGACGTACCGATTCATCAATGCTTTAGGATGTTTATATGAAAGAAAACAATATTCTCTTTGCAACTACAACAAAACAATGTAAGTATCTGGAAAAACTATGTTTTGCAAAAGTTAAGGTTACTTATGGCTCGATATAACGTCCTTCTTTTAGCATCTGATAGCTGTGATATGAATAAAAAGCAATCGGAAGATGAATGTATTCTTCCAGAAATATCTTCAGGATCTTCTGAGCCGGTTAATACAAAACAGCGTATGTGTTTAATGAAAAATTTATCATAAAAATAATATAATAATGTATACTATTTACTACAAATATATTACCATATACTAATATAACTGGCATTCACATATAGTTTCTTAATCATGAATAATCCCATAAGTGATAAATTGTGATAATGTGATAATTTAAAAAAATATAAATTAATTCTTTTAGAAGCTGTTTGGGACAAACGTGCAACACTTGCATTACTAGCTTTATATGAAGCAAATATAGAAAACATTGATCATCCTAAAAAGAAGACCAAAATTTGGTCAAAAATTTCCATGGGTTTGCTCGAACATGGTATTGAGGTGAGTTTCATCTTAATATACAATGTGCATATATCAAAGGTCTTTAGAATTTCTCCTATAAGATGGAATAAATTTAATTGTGAATTAGACTAATTTTTTTATTATAAACATCAGGTGTTGTTAAAAATTGAAATTATATATATATATACTCATATATATATATACATAGATATATTTATATATATATTGCACAAAATTTTCAACTCGCTTTGAAATTGTTGCAGGTGACCGATCAACAAGTTCGTTGGAAGACAAATGCACTAATAAAACGATACAAAGAAGTCGTTGACAATAACATGAAATCGGGGAGAGGAACTATAGAATTCGAATGGTTCCAGGTAATGGACGACTTTTTAGGAAAAAAGGGAAATGTAACAGCCGCAGGATATACTGTATCATCAAAAGTGGGTTTAGAAAAAGTGGCACCTTCTACGTCACAGGCAGTGACAAAAAATCTCGAATCTCGAAAAATGAGTAAACAATCTGCGATGGATAATTTAGCTACAATAGAGTCTTCTAGCAATAGTCACAACACTGAGAAGAAAAAAACACTCACAACCCATGGCACTGAAAGTAACATTGCTAAAACAAAAATTGAATTAGAGAAACAGTGGTTGAAACACTTGCAACTAAAAGAAGAATATAATAAAATTAAACAGGAAAAAAAACAAAGATTTGATTGAAAGTAAAAAAGAAGCTTTAAAATTGAAAAGAAAACACCTGACTCTGAAAGAAAAAGAAATGGAGCAAAGGTCTGATATAGCTACGAATAAAATGAGTGAAAAAAAAAGACATGCTGACATAATAGAAATCGAAAGACTGAAATACAAACTTTTAAAAAAATTTATAGAAAAAAAAGAAAACAGAAGCATTGACGTGTCAGAAGAGTCAGATTGAAGGTGTAAGGACGGTGGTTGCTGGCAACAATAAAAATCCTGCCAAATTCCTTATATATCTATTTTATTTCTTATTATTTGTTTTGTTTTGCGAATGTTAAAATGTTTTATGATTTATGTTTTATGAAAATTACGAACAAAGTCATTATAGATGTAGCTATAGTACACGTTACGTATACTTATACTAATAGATAATGCGCATATGCGCTTTACGGAATCCATCCAGTCTTTCATGTATTTTGATCTCTGTAGAATCATAATAATTCTTATAGTTGTAAGAAATGTTGTTTTTTAAAAAAATTCTACTTATATATGTATATATATATGATATAGCAACATAAATGTGATTGTTTTGGTATTATTTTAGTATTATAACTAAATAAGCGTTCTTTGAGGAAAAAAATAAATGTATTAAACTGTATACAGGCATACATTCACTTGTTACATAATATCATGGCCTACATCATAGATTACACTGATTGTTTAATACGCGTAATAAAAAATACATAAGTAGTAAATTAGTTCACTCACGCACACGCGCGCGCACACACACACACACACATTGGCTGATCAGCTCAAAAATACTTTTGGACTACTTGATACTCGTATAGCAACAAGCACTCGAGTTTATAGCAAAATTAATTATATTTTTATAAGAATAAAACTTCTTTTTTACTTAACCACAGAATTTCAAAAAGTAGCAAATAATAAAAAGAATAAAATCATTGTTAGTCGGTATTCATAAACAGTTAGGAAACAATTCATAAAATAATTCAGTTCTACGATCCATCCCAGCTGTTCTATTATCTATTTCTTCTTGTTCAATATCATTAGTAATTCCACTGGTACAATCATTTAAAACTTCTGGAAAATCGTATGTATCATTTTTCTCAATACAGTAATTGTGTAATATACATGCTGCAACTACAGTGTTAACGACAAAAGGTAAATCGCGATATTCAGTGAAAAACTTAATACGGCGAAATCGTCCTTTCAGTTGACCGAATGCTTGTTCAATTGCCATTCGCGTTGAAGAATGAATATAGTTGAACTCTACTTGTTGAGGCGTTAAATGTCCATTGTCTCGAAATGGTGGAACAAGCCAAGGTAATGACGGATATGCCGAATCGCCTAACAAAAACATCTTATCGGGGAATAATATTTCTTGATTCATAGATGCTTCATGATATAGCTCAGATCTTCTGAGAATTCGAGCATCATGAAGGGAACCGGGGTCACCACAATACACATTGATAAACCGCATATCTGCATCTGCAACTGCTTGCAAAGAGATTGAGAAATATTTTTTTCGATTGCAATACTCTCGTGCACGGTCTAGAGGCTTTTCTATTCGGATATGTGTTTCATCTATCGCTCCTAAGACTTTCGGAATACCTTTCTTCGACAAAAATTGTTCATTTACAACTACAGCTTCAAGGCCCTGTGGCCATTTGATCACTGAATCAAATTTTGTTAAAAGCCAAGTTACTACTCGCCGTAGAACTCGAAATACAGAAGAAATGGATACATCAAATCTGTCTGACATGGTTCGCAATGGTTCTATATTTGCGATATACCATAAAAATAGTAGAAAACTTAACTTTGCAGAAATAGGTTTGACTCCAAAAGAATGTGAAGGTATAAAATTGGATAACTCCAATTCATCTGAAAAGAAAGTGTTATTATTGTATAATACCATTGTAGGTGTAGAATAAAACACTAATGCACAATGTATATATATATATATTACCAATTAATTTTGATGCAGTACACCAATTTAGTCGTAAATGTTGTTTATATTCCTTATTAGTCCAAGAATCAATAATCTGAAGATAATTTTGAATGCGGTGTCTCCTTTGTCCACTTGTCAAGTAAAGCATTAGTGGGAATAACAATAAGTCGTCGTCTTCTTCACCATCACCACTAGATGAACTCGCGCTATCTTCTGTACTGCTTGATTTACTCATAGCACTGGCTGTTGAACTGCTACTGCTGCTAAAATATGTTTCAACAAGTTGACAAATAATTTTATCATCGTTGTCCATCTATGAAACAAGAATATCATACTATTATAATCTAGAAAACTGATAAATTATAGAGTATGTTCGGCTGTACTCACTGTATACATACCCGTAGGATTGTATCAAACAAATTACCTCGTTTGCAGAAAAATGATCATTAACATTTCATCGTATATTTGAGTAAAACTACTATTTTTTAATACTATCCATGTGAATTGTTATTGTAACATTCACTTTTTATATCAGCACTAGTTTTTTATTTATTTTATTTGTTTAAACATAACCTTTTTACTGCTTTCACATTAAACATAACTTTTTTACTGCTTTAAAATTATTCTAGTGAAAAATCCTTGCGAAAATATA